CAGACGTGTGCTCTTCCGATCTTTAGAAAAATAATTCACACGACTGAAAAAGTCTGTTAAGGAATCGCACAACAGGAAAACAATGAAATTCAGTATCTATGTTCGCGCGGCATAGAGCGCGAGATGACGATCGAAGCTTTTTGAGCTTTGAATTTGCCTGTTGAGGATAACGCGACGGATCGCTACTACATATCCATCCGGACGAGACGTTGCATAATTACTTTTAACATTAGAACAAGATTTCTTTTGGTCATTATTTGAAATATGCGAAATACAATCAACCGACATTCAAAGACCATTACGCGAAATCTTAGATTTAAACGTCAAAGACAAAGCGCTTTGTAGATTATGCCGGCATTAGCTCCTGCACATTTGGAGAGAGGCCCTTCGGTTGATTTAAATTTCAAATAGAATTCTACGCTTGTTCGCCCGAACAATAGTTTCCAAGCGCCTTAGTAGCACCTTCATAAGGTCACGGTTATACCAAGCTCCCCTGTCAGTTGCATCTCCCAGTCGTAAATGCCCGCAAGAAATTCCCTGGCATTAACGTCTATACTTCTCGACTTGCGCCGAAAGAAATATTGCGTGTAAGAAGGCGAACCCTCGAAACGCCATTATCCTGCGACATATTCACGCGATCTTCATTACTCCTCGAAAACAATCGTAAGCCGTACGACAAAGGATTAACCGATTCATACGCGTGACATCCGGGCGGAATGGCTTAGACATGTCTAGCATTGCATGCGCATCCTGCAATCCGATGCCGGATGTTGGTGTTCAGCTCCGCGAGATCCTTCGGGATCCATCGCATTCTCGTAACCCCCCTGTTGTCTGGGGACGCGCAGCCGGTGAGAGAGAGAGAGAGAGAGAGAGAGAGAAACAGAGAGCGAGCTCTTACGTAAGATCCATTCGCGCGCGATCGCCTAAGAAGCTGCATTAACCCCGGAGGCGGATAATTGCCGGATTCGAGCTATACGGTAGTCCTCCCGCAAGCCCACCTACTTATCCTTAACGGCAAATAGCAGCGAGGCATTTCGCCGTAGCGACGACGAACGCGGCCGCCGATCTCTCTCCGAGTATAGGGGAGTGCAAGCGTTAAAGCCACTTCGTACTGCTTCCGCGTCGGCTCATCAAGGCCGATGGCTACGTAAACTTCCTTATGCGCTTATGCACCGCCGACCTATATATCGCTTATAGGAGCGCATTCACATCCGTTGCCGCGGATTGCGTTCCGCGGAGCGGGAGGGGATCGTAGGAGG